GGGCGACCGAGTGAGACTCCAACTCAAAAAAAAAAACAAAAAAAAAAACCCTTTCTTTTTAGATGCCAGTTTGTCAGGGTGTTCCGATGCAACCTGAACATTTCATAGAGTAGGATCCTCATGAAGACTTTACATTCTTGTAGGATTCAGAATCATTTTTCAATCAACAAGCCCTCTATTTGCTCACTCTCTTCTATATGCAGTTATCCAACCTTGGGTGTCTGTTGAGTCTCCATGGAAGAATTCCCATTGTGCTTCTGAGCCTCTCCTTCAGGGACTTGGAAATGGAAGGTAGTGCATTTCGTTCTGGCTGGGCAAGAGACACCAGGATTCTTGGGATACATTTGCCTAGCAATTTTAAAGAACTCTTCTGCAGCATCGAGTGCAATGAGACGGTCCACAAGAAAGAGATGTCTCTGAGAGCTCCCAACTTACTGAAAAAATATTGGTCTCTGAAATAGGGACCGAGCGCTAATTCACAGACACCAACACCAAAAGTACAAGTTATAGAAAGGAGAGGTTTTTATTAGCCAAGAGCTGGGCCGGTGGCCACTTGCAGGCTGGACATAACAGTCCCACATCAAGAGGCATCCATTAGCTATAGGGGCTTGCTTAAATGGGGGAAAACCACATTGGGACTTTCCAAGTAGGCCAAACTGCAACATCCTGGAGGCCTAGGTAGCTTTCAAGCAATGCTAGCAGGGTTCACAGAAGTGAAAAACAAAAGCTGTTAAACAGTTTAACCTAGCCAGCGGTGCTGTTGCCAGTTTCCAGGAAGGGAACTTTTTAACTGTGCAAAGGCTGAGTACATGTTTAAGTGTGCAAAGGCTGAGTTCATGCTTAGCCTAATCTTTGACATTTCAGATGTCTTTTTAAGCCCCCTTCTACAGTCTCTTCAGTCAATTTTCCTTGTGTTTTTGGAATCCCTGATGGTGTTGAGCTTCGTCACCGATCACAAATAGTCTGCTTCCTCTTGAAAGCCTAAATCTTCTAAAACGCGTTTCCACCTGTTTCTCGCTTCCCTTCGAATTTGCCGCAGGGTGTAGACATCAGAGCTGAGTTTCTGCCACTCCTCGGAGTCTTTGGCCTACCGGTTACGAATGAGTATTACGTTGCTCGGGGTTCTGCCGTCGTCTGCTTCCGTGTGGGACACGTCAGGAGGCACACTCCCTAAGTTCTTTCCATCATCCCTCGCCAGAGTCGCTCCGAATGAGGAATACAGATGGCGACCACTGACCAGCGGCTCCTTCTCGGCC